GCCCAATCTGATTCAGCTCTGAGCTGAAACCAAGTTTTACTCTCCATGCACATGACAAAGAAGTTACCTCTGTCTCGTATAATCCTTCAGTCCCTAACGTATGCATCCTTTCTCTATAGCTTATAATATTTTTGAGTTCCTCTCCATTTAACTTATGCCCTTGTGCCTTTCTACAGCTTCTTGCAACTGGATCTGTGGATAAAATGGTAATTGAAGTTTTCTATGCACCTTGTCTCCTGCAAATTATGACTGGCTTAGCTGCTCTCATCAAACACACTATATTTTGATGCAGGTAAAACTCTGGGACTTGTCAAACAACCAACCTTCATGTGTTGCTTCTAAGAATCCTAAAGCAGTAAGTAAATTATCTTCCAGCGTGGCAGGGAAGCATTTCCATGAGAGTGGTGTTTTGGTTAAGTAAAGATTGGGTTCTTATATTCGGTTCTGGATGTTATCAGGGAGCTGTTTTTTCTGTTTCTTTCTCTGCGGATTGCCCCTTTTTGCTGGCAGTTGGAGGTTCGAAGGGGAGATTGGAAGTGAGTTTGGAAAATCATTCTGTTTTATTTAAACTTGTTTGATTACTCCAGGCATGTCAATGTATAATTTATCTACACCCAATGCCTGCAGGTGTGGGACATGCGAAGTGAGGCCAGTGTTGCTCGAAGATTTGGATCAAAAGTGTGATGAAGTAACCTGCGTTTGGTGCCATAAGATGACAGTGCAAGATTTAAAAGTTTTGTTTTGGGGAATATACATGGAGAAGACCGAGTGTCTTCAACATTTTTTTTTTTTTTTTTTTTTTAGGATAGAGTATTTAAATTGAGTGGCATATATGCAATTAATTTTCCTCATGGTTACGAGATTAATTTATGTGGCCAGCTTTTTGTATAACTGAATATTGTTTCTGTAATTGTAACGAAACAGAAACTTATTGGAAAAAAGAAGAGTGTTTCTTTAGCACATTGGGGTGCGCATGACTTGATCATCTATAGATGTAGACTGTCAAGCTTTCTGATTTATGTTAAAAAATGAACAATACCTGTCTGAGATAGTACACATTCATTTTGTTATTAAGGTTTGTCATGCGTTCGTGAGAAAATTTATGGAGAACAAAGGGCATACTTGAAGCAGGTTCAACTTGCACGCTGGAAAATAACATGAACATAATAGCTGAACGAATAACTTTCTTTTATGAAGAAAATTTTGCAAACTATAAATCATAAATTCGATAATTGAAAACAGTAAAATGGAAAATTCTCATGAATTAATATAAATTCAAAAAATAAATACAACATTTTTGCTTCGAACTGGAGAGAAAATAGCCCATTGTCCTGGACCTAACAGTTGTGACTGGCCAGTAGGCATTGTTGTAAAACACCTCTCCACCACTCTTACTCTTCCAATAGTCCAGCACTTAATACATCAGGAGACTGAAACTTCACCATCTACTTCTGTGCCCTCCATCATGAACCAAGCTGTTGCACTTGCACACTCCCACGGCACGTGAAGAACCATATAGCCCCCAGAGGACCATACGATCTGGCACCAAAGGTAATGCACCAAGCTGGCGATAGTGCTTTAATGGTCAAAGAGCAGTTGGAGATGGACATGGATTCTACAAAAGACTCCACTCTCTTCTACCAATGACAATCAATATTTGTGACCTGATTCATAAATCAACCCAGCTCCTTGAATAAAAGAACACCAGCAAGGGAACAAGTGCAATTACAATAGGCACGCTGTTGAGAATTATGGCTGAGTATGTCAAACCAGCATTTGCGGTTTCACCTTAAGTTGAAGAAAGAAACCTCGTATGCTTTTGTCTGAAATATTCTACAGCTTCCTCATTGCCTCAGTATCTTCACATAATTAAATGCAGAAAAGGAACAGGCAGATTATGGTGCAGAATATAACATCACCACTTACCAATTCATTACTTCCAATTTGTCAAATCAGAATCAACATATCAAAAGCTTTCAACTAAGCAATGCTTTCTACCGTTGTAGAAACGAAACAGGTACACCCTGAAGATCCGTGCACGAGGCTGGAAGTAGTTCATTTGCTGATGCCAGTAACTCAATCAATTGTTTTATTTGACTCTTCAGAATGAAAACTTCATCAGCCAAACTTTTTGCCACCCAATTTTCCAACATCCTGCACAAACAACACAATAAACCAGGATTTCTTATAAAAAAAAAGAAAAAGGAAAAAGAAAATAGGTACGTACATTTAGTATGTGATCGTTCAGTCGACTTAGATATCACTTCTTACACTGAAGAAATACATGCTTATTTTGGTGGTCATGGTAGGGACATTGGGTTCTTTTAATTAGGCAGATCTTTTATTTGGAAGACAAACAACCTTCCTCCCTAGCACAGCTCATAAAAAGAAAATTACATTCCCATAGTAATTTGTTTTTTGTCTATAGTTTCGCTAATTAGCCCATCAGGGTTAATAAGAATCAATAGCTTATAATTAGCTTTTTTTTTTTGAGATAGTAGCTTATAATTAGCTATTAGCAAGACTGAAAGCGCAAACAGAGCAAACTAACCTTATCTGAGACTCTGCGCTGTTGCTACAATCAGAAAAGAGCACCTTAACAACAGGGAGAAGGTCTGACTTAAAAGCTGATTCCATGGTATCCTCTCTACCCAAACAATAGCCAGTACTATTCCAAGAATTTGGATTTAGGAGAGTAACTAGCAACATTGGAGATCTGCTTGTCAAATCCTTAACCAAAATCCGAAATGATAATTCATCTTTTGCACTTTCCATCAGCTGATTTGTAAACATTCTTCCCAAAGTATATTTCCTTTCACAACAAATTAGGCAACATAAGATTAAAGATCGTGATCCCCCCAAAATAAAGTGAGGAAGAGAATGAGAGAGGTTCAAAACCATGTATTATGAAAAGTAATTAAAGGAGATGTGTACTATTAGAAAATAGTGACAAGCTTTTCTATAACTTATCCCTATCCAAATATTTAGCGGAATTTTTTTAAAACAGTTAACATGGTCAAAAGAGGAATAATTTGTGTTGATATGATACTTTTAGCTTCCAGCCCTTGTGCAGTTGTCTCATTCTCCAAACAAAATAACAACAATGAACTTCCCGATTCCAAATTAGAGTAGCACAAAATTCTTGGGACAAAAATAGTGGAAATGGAATATCTGAATATTATATGGAATTGGAACAACAGCTATAAACTAATTCTGATGAAGATTGCTAGCCATCCATGTACCTGAACATGTCACTTGATCCCCCAACTGGTGAAGAAGTGGAGATATAACATTTAAGTAGTCGAACTCCATCATCTATAAGTGCATCACCATCACAAGGATAAGCTCCAAGAAGAGATGAACATTGAGGGCAAACAAATTCAACCCATTGAATTTTCATTGAGAGATTGGATGATCTAGCCATGAAAATATCTTCAAGGAAGCCATTAAGAAAATGCTTCTTATTTCCATCTAGTTCCATAGTCATTGTAATTTTTGGGTCCATCTGGAAAGTTCCAGATGCATCAGGTGTCCTAGGTTCATGGATATCACTACAACAGGGGCCTTCTGTATGCACACAACCAGGTATTGATCCCATAATTTCACAGAAATCTGGTATTGGTTTTTTGCAAAATGAATTGCCACTGATAGTTTCTTCAATAGTATTTGCACAATTGACCTTTGCAGCAAAATGTCCATTATCCAATTGATCGCCACTAAGGTCACGTCTGCTCTCACCTTCATTTTCATGGGTTGTTACTTTTTCTTGATTATTTCCAGAATCTAGAGCAGCTTCTTTCATGCTGCCATCAGCAGAAAATTTTGGTTTGCAGTGATGCTCTTGGGTTCTATTGAATTCAGGTAACACACACTCCACAAGATCATCCTTGCAGAGAGTAATAGTCGAGATATTTAAGAGGCACAAACCCTTGGCACATGAATAGGACTTTGCATACCTAGTCACCAGCTTCTCACTAATACCTCCAAAGGAACAACAGCAACCTCCAAACCAGTTGTCAGCCACCTCTTGCCAGTTAACAGATGGCATTTCCATAAAATTCCTACAAGTGAGTTGAAAAATCAATATACGCATAGAATAGAGAAAAGAAAAGATAACTAGTGAATCAAGCTGTTCAGCATGATTTAGCAACAGTGTAAATATGCACAGAAAAGGGTATATGTTCAGCATTGTTAACGTCAACTTATTGAAGGATCTAACTGCACATGCTATCAGTAGACAGCTTCTACATTCACCAATGCTTGTACAATACGAATGACAGCACAGAAACACAGGAAGATATGCCAATAATAACTTTAGGGATCTACATGCATTAAACAAAAATTCCAGAATCATGCACAGTTATTAAAATTATATATACATACATAAACTTAATGCAAGATAAATTGAGGGCGTGAACGAGTGCAGCAAACAAAGAAAGCAAATTCTACCTGATTGGACTTCTTGTCAGTGTAGTCGAGCAGCTTCTGCAGTAAAAGTTTACTCCTTCCGTTGCTGATAAACGCTTCAAATCTAAACCAAACAGTAATCGTATAAAAGGAAAAGAAATTATCGAATGTACAGACTAGACCATAAAAGGATCATGACAACCACTAAGGTTCACACTGTTTGAGGTTGTATTAACCGTCCAATTTCCTTTAATTTGTTCTCTGCGGGCGAAAAAAGTAAAAATTGCGGAAATCACAACAAATGTAGACACAGAGCCAGTTTTTCTTGGGGAAGAACACCAAAAAAAAAAAAGCAAAATTGAACTTTTGTTACCAGAATCCATCACGAGCGGCTGTAAGCTATCCAAAACCGCACTTTTAAGGCCTTCCGATAAATTCAGAACAGAATCGAAGCTCGAAATGATAGGGTGGTCGACGGGAAGAATCAAGACGAGCTTGATCTCGATGTGATCATCTAAAGCTCTGACATTTACTGGAGATTCCGCGTCGATTAGAACCCGAGGAACCGGAACCCTAAGTGAGATCTCTTTAATGTCTTCATCTTCCTCTACCTCCTCGTCGATCCAGGTAACGAGGAGGTGAGATTGTGAGAGAACCAGCCTGGTGTCAAGGTTCCTGCATTGAATGGAGGGCTTCGTAAGGGAATCAAAAAGGTACAGACGGAGGGTCGGGGAGTGAGATTGTGCCTCCCATGTATATCGCCATGTTGTAGGGCTTTTAGGGTTTTTGACTGACATTTCCTCTGTACTCTTCAGGGGGCTTTACTGTTACCCGCTTAAATCAAACTGAGGGCGGGGAAGGAGGTGTTTGGATTGGATATTTTGAAGGTGATTACAGTCTATGACGTCTTATTTTTAACACTAAATTATTATATAATTTAGTTTTTATTATTTTATATAAAATTAAATTTCTGACACGTTTATCCATATATTTTTTAGTTTGTTGAAATGTATAATTATATTTAAAATAAAATTTTATATTTTACACTTAAATTTTTAAAATACAATATAACAGCCCGAAACTTATAAAGAAATAAATTATGAATTGAATGTGGAAGCGAAATCATAGCGTTAGGGTTTACATTACTTACACAATAATTCAGAATGCCTAATAGGACTACTGGAATGACCTTTCTAAAAAAAAAATAAATAATCAAAGAAATAAATGAAAAGTAAACGATTGAACATCTTATTCGCAACTCTCTTATGGATCGGGATCTGGATCTTAATTCTCTTGATGTGAAATGATTAATGAAATAATTAATGAAATGGTGAACTACACTACCCCAACAATAATGTCACACTGCTCACCGATACAGAAATGAATATTGATAAAAATTATGAAAATAACTAATGGAGCTCTTAATTTAAGTAAACTTATTTATCATAAATAAAATTATTTATTGCATACTTACCGTAACAAAATTTCTAAAACTGACTCATAGAGGCGATAATACAACAATATTATAATCTTATATTCAATTAATCAAAATAACAACTTTCTCTTTTAACCAACTTACTAGTATCCATGGGAGTTCATATGAAAGTCCCTACTATGCATGAACCCTTATTCAACATTTTCAATTAACAGGCCGTTTCCATACTCCATCCGATACGAACGTTAAAAACATCATCCCTCAATACTCCGTCCGCCATGAGGGTAAAACGGTTCGTCCCCATACCCCGTCCGGTATGAGTGTCAAAATACTAATTCTCGATACTTCGTCCGGTATGAGGCAACATTCACGATAGGGTTCCCTATGTACCTAATCTGTCCACCATCTCCAAAGATATCCAATAAGGCTACCATTTATCAATTCAGTTAATCAAGCAATATCCTGTTGACATTTAATTTTTCAGTTTTCTAATTTAACTGTGAATTATGCAAAACAAGCAATACATGCATCAAGGGACACAAACGAATCATCATACCAATTCCAGTATATTATCATGCATCCAAAAATGTAAAATCAATCAATCAATTAAAACATGATGAATAGTAATAAATAACCGGTTCAGCCTCCATTAGTAATATTTAATTATCGATATTTGTAAATCACGCAAAATATCATATTATTTATAATTAGACTTCAATTTCATAACAGGGAATAAGGTGAGGAATTTTTACTCGAATCGATGTTCAAAATGCTAAGTTTTCAGCTACGCCTACTAGCGATTCTCGAGTTCCCTGAATTTTTTTTCAGAGATTAAAACACGCTCCAATTACCTAGAAATACCCAAAAAATCCAAAATTGGTGTTAGAAACCCTTTTCTACCAATTTCAAAATTCCGGCACAGTGGCGTCGTCGTGCTCCGAGGACGGCACCGCCGTCTGCGGTGGTGATTTACCTTGGGTTGGCTGTTTTCGGCCAGTTTCAGTCGATTTTAGCCGGTTTTGTACTCATTCCTACGAGAAAATATGTTAAGGGGCATCGGTTGGCCGAAAAAAGTCAAAAAACAGAAGTTTACCGGCGGCGAAATTTTCCGGTGCGGCGGCTCCGCCAGCTTACTTTCGCGGTTGGGTGTTTTACTTTAGTCAACCTGTAGAAAAAAGAATGGTGATTACAATGGTAGAAAAATTACACGAAACAGGAATCGGGAAAGGCTTTATCGGAGGTGATTTTTTATTTTTTATGCTGCAGCGCCGCCAAGCTTTACCCGCAGTTTTCAGCTCATTCACTGGTCCTTTTATTCCGATTTGGCTATGGGGATGTTCAAAATCAAATTTCGGGTAAATAAAATTTTTTTTACCTCTTTTGGTGATCGGAGGTGGCTCCGGCACGACAGTGGGCGGCGGTCAGCTCCATTCCTAGCGACTGGTTCTTCTTCTCCGGCGGGGGGGTGGGGGACCCTGGTAGATAGGGTTAGAGTTTGGTGTGAAGTGAAGTATTTATATCTATCTCCTTTTAATCTGACCTGTCCATCACGTTTGATCTGGCCGTCCGATCGCATTTAAATAAAAAATGAATTTGGACATTTCATCGCGATTTGATCTGGACTGTATGACCGCGTTTAAAGAGGGAATGAATCTGGACCGTCTATCGCGTGTAATCGCGACCGTCAGATCGTGCCTAATGAGGGAACGGATTTGGACCGTCCACACGCACGGGAACAAATCTGGATTGTCCTATCGCGGATACACAGATGACCAACACGGCCTCTCGTGTGGCACTGCATCTGTATGCCTCGCCACATGGCGCACTCTGGTTTGTCGGGACTGCTGACTGGCAGTCCTACGTGGCATATCTTTTTTAAATTATATTTTGACCCTTAATTTCTGATTTTTCTTTTAAAAATACCATAAAAATCTAAAATTTCACCCATTTTTTTCAAAATTATTTTCAATTTCATCCTCCACCTATTTTTTTCTAATTTTGCATCAAATAAAAATTCATAAATTAAAAAATAAAATTTTTTACATTAATTTTAAATTTTTTAAAAATTAATTAAGGATATTACAACTCTCCTCCCCTTAAAAGAAATTTGGTTCCTCAAATTTGTCTCTCTCTCACTCAATCAAACAGTTAAAGATATTGGGCTCTGAAATTTGATTTTAGCTCCAATGTGGTCTCTCCCTGTGTGTGATTCTGTCATAGGACCTTAACAAAGTGAATTTTTCAGTTGCGGAGTACTATGCTCTTTCGATTCACAATACTGACTGGTATCTCCTTATAGGGCATATCCTCCTAAAGTGAAAGGGGCTTGTGGCCCAAGACGTGCGAAAGGTCCGGGTTGTACTTGTGTAGTATAGACACATGAAACATATTATGGAATTTGGATAGTTCTGGAGGAAGTGCCAGTCTATAGGCGGCGGTGCCAATTTTGTTTAAGATTTCAAATAATTCAATAAACTAGAGATTTAGTTTCTTCTTCTTGTCAAACCTACTAATTCCCTTGAAGGAGTGACCTTAAGGAACACCCGATCACCTTTCTCAAATTTCAAATCCCTCCTACGGGTATCCGCATAACTCTTCTGCTTGCTTTGAGCCGTCTGAATATTTTTCTTGATCTTAACTATTTTGGTTGTAGTCTCTTCTATAAGATCTGGACCGAACAATTTTCTATAACCCACTTCTTTCCAACAGATCGACAATCTGCATGGACGGCCATACAACGCCTCATACGGAGCCATGCCAATACTTGCTTGATAGCTGTTATTGTAGGCGAACTCTATTAGGGGTAAATAATCATTTCAATAGCCCCCGAAGTCAAGAACACAAGCTCGGAACATATTCTCCAGTGTGCAAATCGTCCTTTCTAATTGTCCCTCGGTTTGAAGGCGGAATGCAGTACTAAGGGACAGTTTCGTTCCCATGGCTTGCTAAAAATTAGGCCATAATCGAGAAGCGAACCTGGGGTCCTTGTCGGACACTACTGTCACTGACACTCTATGTAATCTGACTATCTCCTAGATATACATTTTTGCTAGCTTGTCCAAGGGGTCGGTCGTCTTGATGGTTAAGAAGTGGAAAAACTTGGTGAGTTGGTCAACAATTACTCAAATGACATCATGTCCTGAGTGTGCCCTAGATAATCATGTCACGAAATCCATTGTGATATGTTCTCATTTCTACTTCGGAATTGGTAATGGCTGAAGTAGTTTGCATGGGTGTTGATGTTCTGTCTTGACTTGCTGATATACTAAATACTTAGAAACAAAGTCGGTCACATCTCTTTTCATCCAGTTCTACCAAAATCGGGGTCGCATACTTTGATACATCTTAGTACTTTCAGGATGCATGACAAACTTTGAGCTATGAGACTCTGTCATGATATCATTTTTCAGCTCACTGTCACCTAGAACACATTATCTGTCCTGAAATCTAAGCAACCCATTAACAGAGACTCGAAATTCTGAATTAACTCCATATTTTACATCTTTCTCGAGGGCTACTAGGGTGGAATCGGCGGATTGAGCTTCTTTTATTCTCCGGATCAATTCAGGTTAAACAGTCAGGTAGGTCAAACATGTGACTCTCTTCAGCTCCTAAAGTCGTACTTGTTGTATAACCAATTTGTCCTGTATTATGAAACTATCAAATAAGCTAATGTATTTGCACTTTTTTTACTGAGTGCATCGGCTACCATGTTGCCCTTACTGGGTGATACAAGATGTAACAATCATAGTTCTTGAGAAGTTCTATCCATTTTCTCTTACGCATATTGAGATTCTTTTGAGTGAATATGTGTTTCAAGCTCTTATGGTTGGTATAGATCTAAAAAGTTTCCCCATACAAGTAATAGCACCAAGTCTTCAAGATATGGATAATCGCGACAAGTTCTAAGTTATGGGTGTGGTAGTTTTTCTCATGATTCTTTAACTATCTGGACCCATAGACTATGACCTTCCCATGTTGCATCAGAACACAACCCAACCCTAGGCCAACACAAGTGCAGTAGTCAACTATAAACTGTATATCCACCTGACCTGCTCAGTAAGGCCAACACAAGTGCAGTAGTCAACCATTTCTTTAATTCTAAAAAACTCCTTTCACAGTCCTCGTTCTACTCAAACTTGACATTCTTCTTTGTGACCCGAGTCAAAGGAGCAGTTAGGCTAGAAAACCCTTCTACAAACCTGCGGTAATAACCTGTCATTCCCAAAAAACTACAGATCTCCTTAACCGATGTAAATTTTTTTCAGTCGAGCATTGTCTCAACTTTTTCAGGGTTCACTGACACTCCATCCTTTGATATAATGTGTCATAGGAAGGTAGTCTACTCGAGCCAGAACCCACACTTACTTAATTTTACAAACTTCTTTTCTCTGAGAACCTGCAAAATCTAAGTCAGATAGT